TTGTCAGATGTGTATTCGGTGAATATCCTTTCCCATTCTGTAGACTGTCTTTGTATTTTGGTCACTGTTTCTTTGGAGGTGCAGAAGCTTCTTAGTTTAAGATAGTCCCATTTCAGATTCTGGCTATTGTAAAAAGTGCTGCAATGAACAAACAAGTGCAGATGTCACTTCGACTATACTTTTTTGCCTCTCTGGGATATATTCCCAGGAGTGCCATTAACCTAGTCTTCATTAAAACGCTAGAAGGGGGCTTTCCAGAAGAATTAGTGGGCTTTATTATTTGGGGGGGGCGTTCCAGAACAATTTACTATTATTTTTCCCTCATCAACACTTGATAAATGTCCTTGACCTCTCTTCCTTGGAACATTTACTAGAAGATTGTGAATTTGTATCTCTTTTTTTTTTTTTTTTCCCCTTTATTTTATTTTATTTTTTTTAAAGTTGTAGATTTACAATTTTTTGTGCTTTGGTTTCAATTATACAATGATCAGATACCCATCCCTCCACCAGTGCCCATTTTCCACCACCATGGATAATATCCCTCCCACCCCTATCCCCCCATCCCCCCGTCTCTGTGGCAGGGCAATCCCCTGTGTTCTCTCTCTCCTTTTGGGTGTTGTGGTCTGCAAAAGAGGCATTGAGTGGCAAACATGTTCAGTCCATAGTCTACTTTCGACATGCATCTCCCCTCCTGGGAGGATCCTCCAAACATCCTTTATTTGGTGCTCCCTTCTCTATCTGAATAGCCCTTTCCTCTAGGATACCCGGCTGGCCTCTAAGTTATGGAGTAATCCTCCTGGTGCTGATCTCAGCTATTCTTGGGTATTAATCTCATACTTTGTTACTTTATATCCCCCAGATGAATGCAATCTTTCTATGTCTATCCCTCTCTTTCTGACTCATTTCGCTTAGCATGATACTTTCCATATTGTACCACTTGTATGTAAATTTCATGACTTCATCTTTTCTAAGAGCTACATAGTACTCCATTGTGTAGATGTACCAAAGTTTCTTTAACCAGTCATCTGTTCTTGGGCATTCAGGTTTCTTCCAGTTTCTGGCTATTGTAAAGAGGGCTGCAATGAACAAACAAGTGGAGATGTCACTTCGACTATACATTTTTGCCTCTCTGGGATATATTCCCAGGAGTGGTATTGCTGGGTCAAATGGGAGCTCAATTTCTAATTTTTTGAGGATCGTCCATACTGTTTTCCAGAAGGGCTGAACCAGTGGACATTCCCACCAACAGTGAAGGAGTGTCCCTTTCTCGCCACATCCACGCCAGCATCGGTTGCTTTTGTTCTTTTGAATGTGGGCCAGTCTCTGAGGTGTGAGATGGTATCTCATTGTGGTTTTGATCTGCATCTCCCTGATGATTAATGATGTAGAGCATTTTCTCATGTGCTTTTTTGCCATTCGGATTTCTTCTTTGAGAAAGTTTCTGTTCATTTCATTGCCCCATTTTTGGATGGGGTTGGATGTTTTCTTCTTGTGGAGTTTAACCAGTATTTTGTATATCCTGGATATCAACCCCTTGTCAGATGTGTATTCGGTGAATATCCTTTCCCATTCTGTAGACTGTCTTTGTATTTTGGTCACTGTTTCTTTGGAGGTGCAGAAGCTTCTTAGTTTAAGATAGTCCCATTTCAGATTCTGGCTATTGTAAAAAGTGCTGCAATGAACAAACAAGTGCAGATGTCACTTCGACTATACTTTTTTGCCTCTCTGGGATATATTCCCAGGAGTGCCATTAACCTAGTCTTCATTAAAACGCTAGAAGGGGGCTTTCCAGAAGAATTAGTGGGCTTTATTATTTGGGGGGGGCGTTCCAGAACAATTTACTATTATTTTTCCCTCATCAACACTTGATAAATGTCCTTGACCTCTCTTCCTTGGAACATTTACTAGAAGATTGTGAATTTGTATCTCTTATAACTCAGAAGCAACTTTCTCAAGGACCTGAGCGCCACTCCTTTACAATGTAATCCTGGGGAAGGGTAGAGTCCTCCCAGTCTGAGAAGATACTTTTTCAAAATTTGTCATCCTGTACACACAGCAACTCTAATAACATTAACACTGACCATTTCTTTGTAATTTTTCACTCTTACTCCAGTGTGTTGCCTCTTCTTTCTCTCCCTTTAAACTATTTATTTCTGCACAAATCAGAATGGAGCCCAGCTCTTTGCCTGCTATAGGTAGTACTTGTAACACCAAAGAAAAATGATATCATCCTTTACCTAATCTAATCTAATCTAATGTTTTATTCATCCAATATCATTTTCTTTTTTCATTTGCATTTTGTGATTAAAGTGATTTACAAAGTTAATAATAGTTGGGTTTTAGGCATATGCCAACATCAATTCCACTACCGGTATCAACTTCCTCCTCCAGTGTTTCCATATTCCACCCCTCCCCCCAATCAATATCATAATTTAGTTTTCTTTAGTGATACTGTTATATGCAACTCCACTTCAGAAGTGTTGATTTCAAAGGCAAACAAATCATTTACCTTGTTTTATGCTCCTGAGTTTGTGTTCACCCTATAGACTTGGGAATGGCCAAGTGGAAATAAGGGGCCATATTTTTGTGATGATAAGGATCCGGCTTAAATATGTAGGTTAATGTGACATTCCACGCAGAGTGAAGTAGAGGTGGGATGGATGTAGAAGAAATATAGCTCTTCCTCCTTGAAACTCTTTTTAAAGCGGTCTAGATTTCTAGAGTTTTTGTGTTTGCTGGTGATTTTGGGGCTACATCCTGCAGGTGCTCATGTCTACTCCTGGCAGTGATAGTTGGTGGTGGTGCTGATGTTGGTGGTGGTGGTGTTGGTGGTGGGTACAACAAGGCAGTGCTGGGCACTATCGACTACAAAAGCATTTATGTTGAGCATAGTTATGCAGATTGGTTGAGCACATCCTGCTCTCAGAACACCATACTACTCTGGGCACAGTGGGAACTCTGCCCTCTATGGAAAATCACATCAGGAAAAAGAAGTACAAAATCGTGATCGACAATGCTGCAACTGTCGGCCTCAAGCAAGTCCCTCTGTTCTAAGGCCATCTAATGCCTCAACTCCGGTGCAGACTCTCTCCAGCTTCCCTGCTGCCTTCTTTTTTTTTTTAAATTTTATTGAGTCACCGTGAGATAGTTATAAGCTTTCATGGTTGGGTTACAATCACACAATGATCAAACACCCATTCCTCCACCAGTGCACATTCCCCACCACTAATATCTCCGGTATAACCCCCCTTTCCCACCCTCTCTCTGCCTCCCTCCATGGCAGACATGCTTTCCCCATAATCTCTCTCTACTTTTGGGCATTATGGTTTGCAGTACAGACACTGAAAGGTTATCATGTTTGGTCTTTATCTACTTTCTGCACATATCTCCCATCCCGACCGATTCCTCCAGTCATCTTTTTCTTAGTGATCCCTTCTCTATTCCAGCTGCCTTCTCCCCTTTGCTCATGAGGCAGGCTTCCAGCTATGGAGCAATCTATCTGTCCCGTGTATCTACTGTCCTTAGGTGTCAGCCTCATGTTATGTTGTTTTATACTCCACAAATGAGTCCTGCTGCCTTCTTACAGTGTATTCCATATGCCTGTTTCTGGCCTCCTGTAAATCCTTTTCCCAACCATCCTGCTCCCAAACCAGCAAAGACCACCGGGATCGAATCTGCCTCCTATGTGCAAATAAAGTGCAAGCTAGCTGTAGGAGCCTTCTTTCCAGACCAGAAGTTCTAGAACTCTAACTTAGGACTAAACCTTCCAGTTCGTTAGGAAGACACAGTTATTAAAACATGACGCTGGAACATACTTCCTTTACTTTTGTGAAAAGTAGCAGACCGAAAGCCATTTCAAAATAGGACCAAAGAAAGCCACCCCAGAAAGAACTGCTTTACTGTCCTCTTTAAATGGAATCTGACCCTGGACTCTGCCACACTGCCAACATTCCAAGAAGTCAAGAAGAAGGGTTATATCCTGTTTGGAAGAACCAATAAACATGAACTTTCACCTTCTACTTTGTGATCCCTCCACCTGATCATTTTAAATGACTATGTGCCTCTCTCATGTGACCATGACCACATCTTTCCTTCTCCTTCCCTAAGAACCTTACACCCACTCCATCCTTCAACACACACACACACACACACACACACACACACACACACACACTTGAGCCCCTCCTGGGGACTGGTTCGTGCCTAAATCTGTATTTAAATTGTAATTCTTTGCTCTTCCCAAATAAATGCATCTTGGCTTGCTTACACTTCTCTTACTGAAGGCTGACACTCCCTCCCACCCGCCTTGTCCCATTTAAAAAAAATTTTTTTATTAGTGAAACACCATGAGGTACAGTTGTAGACTTACAAAGTTTTGTGCTTGGGTTTCAATTATACTATAATCAAATACCCATCCATCCACCAGTGCCCATTTTTTTAAGTCTTCAGGCTCAAAATATTTTTCCTCCACTTCTACTTTTTGAGGATGCCCTCCAAGGGGGGGGGGCACGCCCTTTTCCTTACATCCCACTCTTTTCCGTCAACTCTATTGTCGCTGAAGGAAATGACTTAAGTGTGGTTATCTCGTCACACCGCCTTCCCGGGGCAACTTCCATCTCCCCTTCCTCTTTCCACGAGTTACCCCTCTCCATCCTGCCGGCTAAATTTGAAGCCAAGCTGGAAGGGAAGAAGCGATGAGTCGTTTCCCCCCGCCTCCCCCACTCCCGCCCCGCCCCTAAGAAAAGCGACGCTGGAGACCCAGGAGCCTCCCCGGGGTCCGCGTGCCCGCACCAGGCCCCGCCCCCTGCCGGGCTCCGCCCCCGCCCGGCCCGCGGCATGCTGGGACATGTAGTCTTTGACATAGGGCGGAGGAGGGCGGGGAAACCCAAGCGCTTTCCACTCAGTCTCCTCCCCGAAACTGCCTTGTCCACCTGGGGTCGTCGTGGTGACGCCGCCGTCCTCCCCAGCGCCTGCCTCCCCCCCTTCCTTCCTTCCTTCCTTCCTTCCTTCCCGAAGAACCGTCCGGGCCGGCCGAGGATCTTTTTACGACACTGGCTCTGCCCGTGGGTCTCGGCGCCACTTTTCGGCAAAGTGACGTGGACGTCAACAGCAATGGCGGAAGGAGAGGAGATTCTGCCACTGCCAAGCCCGAGCGACGACGGCTGGTGAGTGAGAGAGCCCGGGCGGATTCTCGCTCCCGGGACTCGGCCCCGTCCTCAGCCCACCGCCGGCTCCCCGGGGCCCACGCCAGGCGCCGGCGGGGGGCGCGAGGGCCGGTCGGCGAAGGTGGCCGGCAGCCCTGCTCCGCCCCCTCTGGCTGGCCAGGTCCCCTCCGAGCGCACGGGGTGGGGGGCTCAGGCGGGACGCGAAGGGACCTGGGGCGTCTGTCCAGCTGCTGGGCCACGGTTGGATGTTATTTATCCCCCACCCCCAACCCCTGCTTCTCCGGGCATTCGAAATCTGCCGGAGAGGGTTGGCTTCGGGGCTGGCGTGGGTCGGCGTCCCCGGACCGGAGAGTTCAAGTCGGCCGGGGAGGAAGTTTGGAGGATGCAATGTCCCTCGCTCTGCAGTTCGGACCCTCGGGCGTGGGAAAAGACCCCTGGGAAATGATCGCGGCCACCTCGGCTGGAGGGTTCTGGAGCTGACACACCCGCCCAGGCGTAGTGAAATGTTTCGTCCAAGTTTTTTTTTTTTTTAAATATATATACACACTTCATTTGGCTCTCCCCACAGTTTGCACCAGTTGTCACTCTCCCCCGCCCCCCAAGTCTTGCCTCTTTTCCTCCTCGGCTCCGCCTCCGCAGTTCGGTGGTCCCAGCTTCGGGTTTGTTGTTGTTTTGCGAGAGGTGCGGGGGATGGAATCCAGCCGGGTCTCCCTACTCTCGTACTCCCCCGCAAGTACGAGGCTGGCGCCCTGCAGCTGCTGACTGAGCCTCGCCCCCAGCCCCGGAGTTCCTGGGTTTTGGAATGCGGTGGTGAATGGCATTTGCTCTTGGGGCTCCCAAACCTATTTTGCGTGCTTTCCCGATTCATAATCCAGGCTGTGGGGAGGAACGCTAATAAAATTATTGGTGGGTGTCAGTAAACCCTGATGCCTGCATCTTTGGGAAACGCTTATGCTTTTGAAATGGTTTGATATCCGCACTGCACATATGGGGACAGCTTCATAAGAAAAATTATAAAAAAGAGGAACTTTTGGATGGGGTTGCTGGCGACAGAATCCAAGGCCTCTTCCACATGCAAGGCATGCCAGAGGAAACAAACTTTTAGCGGCTTGTCCAGGAACGAGTAAATCTAAAACTACTAGTGCATCCTGACCAGGTGTAGTAAGTAGTTTCAGATTTACTTGTTCCACGCGTTGTACGCCTGCAACTCCTTGGCACTGGCTAAAAGTAACACAGGCATTAGTAGATGTGAACTTTAGTCTCTAAGGAGAAAAATGAAAACGAAGAATTGTGAATATAGTCATCGGGAAATTAAACTCACAGGCTAAATAACGTCACCCTAGTGCACTTTAAGGTGTAGAAGGAAAACTTCTGGTGACCTAGTTTGTTTCTGTCCTCAGTTCCATTATATGGCACAACTGTGACAGGTATATTTCTTAAGAAGATAAGATTGGTCCAGTTCTTTATGAGTGTGAATAAGAGAGGAGAATTGCGGGACAAGGCAGAAACGATTTATTTCCACTTGCAGTTATTGGGGGAAGCTCTTTGGAAGCAGATGTGTTGAAACTAGACTTTGAAGAATGACCGGGAATTGGTCTAGCACTGCCCAGTGCAAGCCATATAAGTTTTCCAGTAATCACCTTAAATACTAAAAAGAAAGGGGTGAAATTAACCTTGTTTAGTTCTACTTCATCAGTCTAAAATAATATGTAATCATTGTTTATTTTTTAAAAAAAAGGAAAAATGCTAGATAATTTTACATTTTTTTTTCTTTTTGGGTCACACCCGGCAATGCTCAGGGATTACTCCTTGCTGTGCACTCAGAAATTACACCTTGTGGTGCTCACGAGACCATATGGGATGCTGGGAATCAAACCCGGGTCGACCACGTGCAAGGCAAACGCCCTACCCGTTGTGCTGTTGCTCCAGCCCCCTTACATCATTTTTTTTTTCCTACCAAGTCTTCACAGTTCCCATTTCCCCTCCATCTCAGGGTGAGCTAGTGATATATATCAAAAGTCAGTCACACGTGGCCAATGACCAGCATGTTGGATGGGGTGGTTAGCCTCTTAATGGAAGAAGCCTGCAAATAGAAGACCAATGATTTGTCTGGAGAATAATGCCTAGAATTCATGCAGTTTGTTTTCGGTGAATTGTTGGATCATAAATTGCCTGTAATCAGCTGAATAAAGGGGGGGGGGGATGTTTCTGGATCTAAGGAGTCTTTGAGATGTTCTTAGGTGCGAATTGTGAACTGTCTGGTACACACGGGCAAAAAAACGGAAAGAATAGTTGCTGGATGGACTGAGGGGATGGTCTGGAAGGCAGGAGGGCATGCTTGGCATGGGGGAGCCCCAGGTTTGATGCCCCTAACTACGTAGTTCTCTGAGCACTCCAGGAGTAACCCCACCCCCACCCCTTTTTAGCATTTTCCCTAAAACTACATTGCTAGATGTAGCATATTCTCTTCTAGGGTTGCATTGCTAGAGGCAGCATGCTCTCTTCTAGGGTTGCTGTATTTTGCTATGCCTTGGCTTTCCATTGATATCTCTGTACTTTCATGAACTCAAGAACTCTCAGGTGTTCTGTCATTTGTGCTCTCCCTTCATTCTCTCTAACCTTTCTCCCTGTTGTCGGGTTCCCTGGAAGTGAGTTTGAATAGAGACTAGAAAGACATTCACTATTGGGAACGTGGGTTAGTTAAGCCTCTGCTCTTAGATCTTCTTGGTGAAAGGGATGTTATAAAATGGAGGAGGCTTTACTTTTTTTTTTTTTTAATAAAAATGCTGTTACATTTTAATTTTAGCTTTTCCAGATGGGAGACTGTCTTGTGATACATGTCTCACAATACTCAGTGTTAGTGACTTAGGGTTATTCAGTTTTCAGTTATATATGTGTTTAAAACTAGACTCCTGGGCCGGAGCTATAGTACAGCAGGTAGGGTGTTTGCCTTGCACGTGGCCGACCTGAGTTTAATCCCCGGCATTCCATATGGTCCCCCAAGCACTGCCAGGAATAATTCCTGAGCGCAGAGTCAGTAGTAACCCCTGAGCATCACTGGGTGTGACCCCCAAAGCAAAAATATAATAAATAAATAAAACTAGGCTCCTGGTCCTCTAGGAATTTGTTGTCTAGTTAGTGGAGGCAAACTTATGAGCATTGGTTACTGTTCAATTTTTGGTGCTATGGTGAGACCTTATGCTTATCTAAACTGATACAGGGTAAATTTGGTGCTATGAAAAGGTTCTACACAACTGTCACTTTTTGTAATTTTATCCCCTTATTTCTCATATTCTGTCAGTGGTATCTTCCAGGTTATCCTTAATCTGTGAAAAGAGGGGTTGAACTTGTAAAATTCAGGGTGGGACCTGAAGATCTTAAAAGTAGCTGTGACTTTTACTTACTGATTTTCAGTTATGTGCTTCATCAGTGCTTCCAAATTTCTAATTATATGTTGGGATTAAGGGTTTTGTTAAAATGAAAACTCTCATTGAGTAGATTTAGAATCTGAGATTCAGTTTCTGACAACTAGGTTAGTCCTTCTGATTCATGGGTCACCCTTTAGCAGTGTTATAGATCCTAGCATTTTAAAGTAACAATGATTTTTTTCAAATTAATTTTTATGATTTTATTATTAACAAATGTTCATACACTCACTTTATGTACCTGTATCCCCAGAGTCAACTGAAAACTGTACAGGTCAAAGAGTGTCTAGCATGGAAGAAGTTTAAGTATCCTTGCTCTAGATGATATATATATATATACATATATATATATATATCAGAATGAGCTGGCCAGAGGAATTTACTCCTCAGTAGTTTATATTGTATGTTATACTGAATCACCTTAGACTACAGTATCTGGTTGAGTGATTTATCATTGCTCTTTAGATAGTGAACTTCTCAAGGGCAGTGACTAATAGTGGGCGGCTGTTATGGTCCAAATGTATGAATACATACTTTTGTAAAATCATGTGTGATAAAATACCAAGCTGTCATTTCATGTAAAGATTCTGACTTCTCTGTTTTTGTTGGTTGCGTAATTGTCTGCTCGTGTAAGACTCACCTTTTATGGAAAGTCAAGGTTATCAGAAACTGTCTCAGCTCTTGAGCTTCTGAAACTGCAGCCATGTCAATTCTAGTGGTATGGATAAATTCACATAAAAGTATGTTGGTTATGCTTTTATTTGTTCTTGTGGCTGCTTAGTATTCTTCTCTCTGTCTTTCTCTCTGTGTGTGTAACAGAGAGAGAGAGAGAGAGAAGAGAGAGAAAGAGAGAGAGAGAGAGAGATCTTTATCACCACAACTTCTTTTATCCATCAATGGACATTTGGATTGTTTCCATTGTACTAAGTGCTTCAGTGAACATAGCTGAATTAATGGTTTTGTGTTTTGAGGATAGATGACAAAAAGTAGGGCTTGGATATAGCTTGAGGGTATCATGTTGAGCAAAGTAAACTAAAAGGAGAAGGACAACGAGAAGGACAAATGACCTCACCCATCTAAGGTATCTAGAGAAACCAAACAAGGTTTTACCAATTTACCAACCTACCAACACATTACCAGTTGACACATGCCCTTGACCCAGGATTACAGCATTGAGAATATCAAATGTGGGGGGCGGGAAAAGGGGGTGGACGGGGAGAGGAATGAGAAGGTGGATTGAAAGTAACACAGGGAGATTGGTGGGGAGGGTCTTGTGTACTTTCGTGATGGTGAGATAAGGGTATACACCAAAACCATAGTTGTCAACACTATTGTAAACACATGGCCTAAACTATAGTAATTTTTTAAAAAAAGAAAACAACCCATGAAGGTCCTGGGTACTTGGGTGGTGACCAGTAACTGTACATCAAAACATAAAATGCATTAGCACTATTGTAAACATCATCTAAATTATAATAAAAAGAGTTTTAAAAATTAAAGAAAAATGTTTCACTTATGGGAACAGAGCATTAGCTCAACAGACTAGAGTGCATTCTTTGCATTCAGGAGGCTCAG